TCCTCCTCCTCCTCCTCCTCCTCCTCCTCCGCCTCCTGCCTGGACCCGCGGCGAGCTGCATCCACTCGACCTCGCGGCTCTGGGCGCGTTGGGCAGTCTGGGCGATCTGGGAGGCCTCCTGCCCCTCGGGCGTGGTGTTAGGTCGGGCCTGTCCCCTACAGGGGGATTTTGGACGAAAAAATTGTTGAACATTCCTCCTGCAGAGGGAAACGCCCGACTTAAGCGTGGTGGGAGGATCCAGCAGTGGGTGATCCTGCAAGCGGACCCCAGAGAGGGCACCCAGGGAAACAAGAGTCCAGGGTGCATCAAGAGGCTGAACCTGGGAACGGTCGGCTCCTGTCATTTCGACGTGGACGCTGGCTTCGGACAGCGAGTAGATCCCTCAACCTTGAGCATCATCTGCTATCCGACAGGGGAGATCGGTCAAGTTTGGCCCAGCCACGTGGTGGCCTTCAACCTCGAGCGCGCACGCCAGCGTCCCCTGTTTTCCACGCGGTGCGGATCTCCCAAACAGGGAAGATCCAAAAGGATCCGTGTACCAGGGGAGACCTGTCTCGGCAGCTGGGGAGGTCTGTGATTCGTCTCCGCCTTCTCCACCTGCAGGCCTTGACGATCAACTAGCTCGTTTGATGGGGGGCGCATGAGCGAGGCACCCGTTCTGCTCGTCGGCATGTTTCCCCTCCCTCTGCCTCCCATCCCCTCTCGCTGAGGTTGAGGACAGAAAGCAGGAGAAAGAGAGCGAGAAAGAGAGAGAGAGAGAGAAAGAGAGAGAGAGAGAGAAAAAGAGAGAGAGAGAGAGCGACCGACAGAGAGGGATCAAGAGAGAGAGGGAGTGGGAGGAAAAAAGAAAGGGCGAGAGGGGCATCCAAGAGTTGCCAGCAGACGCCCGATCTTCTCGCAGAAGCGTGGTGCCCGCTCCCTCAGCCCCATCCCTCCCTCCCCCCCAGACCCCCGACGTCGTGAGTTCTGTTTTGCATGACGTGACCCCCCGGAGCCTGGACCCCTTCCGGGGGGCCGGTCTTTCATCCTGAGTCGCGGCTTGACGGTCCCGAGGCCCGGCGAGGGCCCCCTGGGGGCCAAAAACGCAGAACCTCCGGCCGTGTTTTTAGCCCAACGCGCGGAGGGCTGGGCCGTCCCGCGCGGATCGCCCTCCCAGAGACCCGCCCGACTCAACTCCGTTGCCCGAGCCGGCGGCTCGGGCAGCTCGCGGGGGACAGAAGCGCAGGACCCGAGAGGGCGGGAGGGGGGGAGTACGGCGGGCTCACGTCGCGATGATGTCGGCGTCGGCCTCCCAGACCCCCGACGTCGCGAGTTGGTTCGCAACGTCGACCCCCAGAGGACTGGACCCCTTCTTCCCCGGGGACCGGTTTCTCATCCTGGGTCGTTTTGTTGACGCTCCCGAGGCACGGCGAGGGCCCCATGGAGGCCGAAGATGGCGAGAAACGAAAAACCTCCCGTCGTGATTGAAGGGGCCCTGGGACACACAAATAAACATACACGAATGACACGATTCCCCACATCTACCCATATCTTCTGAGTTTTTGCCTTCCCCCCCACCTCCCATCTTATCCCACATCTTCTGGGGAATCGACGATGCATCGAGCCTCTGTGCTTTTGCTCCCTCCCGTCGTGAGTTTTGCCACGACGCCAGGTCCGGGAGCTCCGACGCCGCGCGGCTCACTCCGCCGCGAGCCCTCGCGGGCCCCCGAGAGCGCAGCCCGAGCGCTCCAGCCGTCGGCCACGGGCGGCTCTCCGAGCCTGGAGCTCGCCCGCGCCGACGCCGCGCGAGCGCCGCCGCGCACGAGGGGCGGGAGCCTCCCGAGAGGAGCCTCCGACGCCGCGGCTCTGCCGCCGCGTCCCCGGCACGCCTTGCGCCGTGGGAGACTCACGGCGGGAGGGCCTCCGCCAGCTTCGGCCTCCACGGGGCCCTCGCCGGGCCCTCGGAACCGCCAGAAAGCACCCAGGATGAATCCCAGGGACCGGTTTTCCATCCTGCGTCGTGTTTTGACGGTCCCGAGGGCCGGTAGGGGCCTCCCGAGGCCGAAAGTTAGGAAAAACATCCTGTCGCGATGGCTTCATTACCCGAGGAGGTCTGAGAACGAGCCCTGGATGTAGAAGAGGAAGAAGAAGAAGAAGAAGAAGAAGAAGAAGAAGAGAAGACGAAGAAGAAGAAGAAGAAGAAGAAGAGAAGACGAAGAAGAAGAAGAAGAAGAAGAATAAGAAGAAAACAGCATGAACATAAACTTTTGGCGCTCCGCGCGGATTTCTTGATCTGCGCTGGACCCCCCTCCCTGGCGCGCGAAGCGCGCCAAGGGCGGCGCCGGAGGCGCCGCAGGGGGGGGCCCAGCGCGGAGCCGAGAAATCCACGCGGAGCGCCCACAGTTTATGCTGATGGCGTTTGTCCTTCTTCGAGGACGGGCGGGAGCCTCCCGAGCTCGGCGATGCGGCGACGGATCCCGCCACGACGAGCGGCGACGGCGGGGCGGCGAGCTGCGATCGCGCGCGGCTCGAGCCGCGGAGCCGCCCGGCCACAGCCGGGCCCCCGCTAGGCCGGGCGCAGGGGGCCCCGCGGCGGCGGCGGGCTGCCCGTGGAGGCGGGGTCCGGGGCCGTGGGCGGGGGGCCTTGGAAGAAGAAGACGCCCAGACCTCCTCGCGCCGTGAAACCATCACGACGGGAGGTGTTTCCCCATTTTCGGCCCCCGGGGGGGCGCTCGCCAGGCCCTCAGAGGAGCGTCAAAGAAGCGGCCCGGGACGAGAAACTTGTCGCTGGGAGGGGGTCCAGACCTCTGGGGGTCGACGTTGTGAAAAAATCGCGACGTCGGGAGTCTGGGAAGGCCACAAGCATAAAATTTTGGAGCTCCGCGCGGAGTTCCCGGATCTGCGCTGGAACCCCCTTCCTGGCGCGCGGAGCGCGCCAGGGGCGGCGCCGGAGGCGCCGCCGGGGGGGCCCCAGCGCAGATCCAAAAAATCCGCGCAGAGCGCCCAAAGATCATGCTTATGATGTTTTTTCTTTTGGAGGCCTGGGCGGCTGAGGCCGTAGGCGGGCGTCGGGGCGCCCAGGCGGAGGCGGCACCTGACCACCGACCAGACCACCCCAGCCCAACCCGAGGAGCCGAATTTCGGGTTGGGGGGGTACCGTCGGACTTGATTGGAGAGGACACGCGAGAGGACACAAGACCCTTCCGAGGGCCGCGTTGCCACAGGAATGCAGGAAACATGGGTCGCGAGACACAGGACACGAGGGTACCCTTGAGCTGGCAGGGTCGACCTACTAATCCGGGCCGACTGTACGGGTTCCACAGGTGTTTTCTCAGTGGTCCCCGAGCCCCCTCCCCACGCTGGAAATGGAGGGCACACTGAGGCCTTCGGGTTGGGCTGGGGTGGTCTGGTGGGTGGTGAGCACCGCGGGGGCGGGGGCGGGCCGATGCCCACGGGATCCAGGGTCGGCGTCGAGCTCCCCGGGCGGGTCGCGCCGTACGGGGCCGTGGGCGGGCCCGGGCGGACGTGCGACCGCGGCGGCGGCGGGCTGCCCAGCTTGATGGGGTCTGGGGCCGGCGGCGGCGGCCCGAGGCGCGACGTGCCAGAGGCTGGCGGGGGTGGGCCGGGCCGGGCCGGGCCCCTCGGAGACGAGGCCGACCCTGGCCCGATCGTGTCGGGCGCTGGCGGCGGCGGGCCTGGCCGGCTCAGGCCGTAGGTGGGCGGGGGGAGGCCCGTGCGAGCGGGGCTGCGCGGGGGCGGCGGGCTGCCAGGCGTGACGTGGTCCGGGGCCGATGTGGCGCTGCCTGGCCTCGACAAGCCGGAGGGCGGCGTCGTGTCCCCTGGCCGAACGAACTCGTTGGCCGAGGGCGAGCTCCCAGGGTGGGCGAGGTCAGACGCCAGAGGCGGGCTCCCCGGGCGGGACATGCCGTATGTCGGCAGAGGTGGGCCCGTGCGCACCAGACTCTGCGGTAGCAGCGTTGGTCCGGGGCTCGCGTAATCTGGCGCCAACGAGGACGGCCCCGGCATCGACAGGCCCCAGACTGGCAAGCTGGCTCCGAGTCGTGCCGAGCTGCGCAGGGGGAACGGCGGCCCTGGATGCAGAGAGTCCGCCGCAGGCAGGGAGAGACCCGGGCGCGAGCATCCGTAGGGCGGCGTCGAGGCACCCAGGCGCACGAAGCTGCGGGGCGGCGGGGTCGGCCCAAGGCGCAGGGGGTCGAGAGCGGGCGTGGGCGGACCTGGCCTCGTCGGGCCAGAGGCTGGCGGACAGGGGCCCAGGCGGAGTGGGCTGCGAGGCGAAGCGGAAAGGCCTGCGCTGGTGGGGTCCAGCGCTGGTGGCGGCGGGCCAGGCTTGGCCAGGCCGTAGACGGGCGTCGGCGGCCCAGGCCGGCAAGGGCTGCGCAGCAGGAGCGTCGGGCCGAGCTGCAGGAGGTCTGGTGTGGGGGGCGGAGGCCCCAGGCGTGCCATCCCAGAGGCGGGCGTGGGGCTGCCCGTGCACATGCGACTCCGCAGCGGCAGCGGGGGCCCCAGACTCACGGGGTCCGGAGCCGACACTGGCAGGCCCAGGCGGGTCGTGCCAGAGGCGGGCGGCGCAGGCCCCGAGCGGAAGGGGCCCCGCGGCGGCGGGCTGGGCCCCAGGCTCACGGGGTCCAGCGAAGGCAGCGGGAGGCCAGGGCGCGACGGTCCGTAGGCTGGCATGGGCGCCCCGCAGCGCGCCAGGCTCCTGGGTGGGGTGGGCGGGCCCGGCGTGGCGAGGTCGAGCACCGGCGGCGGCGGCCCCGGATGGGCCAAGCCATAGGTCGGCGTGGGGCTGCCCGGCCTCAAGGGGCTGCGGGGTGGCGCCATGGATCCCAGGTTGATCGAGTCAGGCGCCGGCGGCGGGGGTCCGGGGCGGATCGCCCCGTACGCGGGGGTCGACGCGCCCAAGCGAGCGGTGCTCCTCGGAGGAGGCGGCGGCCCTGGGCTCTGGTAGTCCATCAGCAAGGGTGCGGCACCCGAACGTGACAGGCCGTAGGTCAGCGCCAAGGGGCCTGTCCGCATCGGTGACCTCGAGGGCGTGGTCGAGCCCGAGTTGACCTGTCTGCCGCGCACGCTGGCTGCGGCAAGCGGCAGCATCCGAAACAACGCCCAATGCAACGGTTCAACCACTGTGTGTCAATGTACTGTGCCCCAAAGTGTTGCACCAATCACGCGCAGTGGCTTCACTCAGCAGGGAAAGCGAGCGCGCGCGCGCCAATCCATCTCGACCACCGCAACTGCGACTAACGAACAACCTGATTCGCCCAAAACGGTGGACATCGCCGCGATCCCAAAGAGGCATTTTTAACTCCATAGACCGTGGATCGCAGCATCAATACAAGTTGGAGATAGTCGCTTGTGTTTGTGTTTCTTCGTTCTGCCTCGCCTCACCTAGCCTGGCTTTGCCTTGCCGTTTGACTTGCGTTCGCTCGCGATGCTCGATTGACTTGCGCTGATAGTTGATTGCCGATTGCATTGCTTACCTTGGCGTATGCTTGCCCTTCCAACATTGCAGTTTCCCCTCATTCGCCTTGAATGTGTTGTTTCGGTGCTCAGCCTTGCGTTGCGGCAGTGCGACGTGCGCCTGCCCTTGTATCCGCGTGTATGTGCTGATGTCGTAACACTGCTTCGCTCCTTGAGCTGACGTTGCTTTGCCTTGCTGACCAAACAGCTCATGCCCCAAGCACGAAGTGGGAAGAATCAACCAAACACTCGTCATGGATTATCAAGGGTGCCCCGCCCGTCTCCCCCATCCTGGGCATCAAAAAAACAGGACCCCCCCCGAGATATGCTTGTGCCGATGCTTCTCCTTCGAGGTGGGTCAAACCAGTTCGGCCACCAATCCCAGGGTAGGAGATCAACGACATCATTGAGCCTCAAAATGTGACTCGTTCGTCGAACAAATCAAAAAAATACGCGCCCATTCCGCCGATGTTCGCAAGTCTTGATCTACGAGCTTCGTAGATCGACGGGAGAAGAAGAAGAAGAAACAAAAAAAACGGGGGTAGGTCAATTCTGCTATCGACCTCCTAGTCGAATTCCCACGACGACCCCCACAGCAACTCCAGCCCCCGTTCGAACGACAACCCCTGCAGCACCCTGGGACGACGGCCCCTGACCACAGCGCAGACGGTGCGAGAGAATCGTCGCGCTCAAGCCAGCGCATGCGTGCAGGCTGGCTGCTCGGCGGGCGGCGAGAGGAAGGGGCGGCAGAGCAGGCCCAGAGAGCCGACGCTCCAAGAAAAATTGGAGCAGGCCTCTGGGGGCCCTCGCCGAGCCTCGGGACCGTCAAACAACGGCTGAGGTTCCCGCCCATCGCACCCAGACCCCCTCGCGTTGTGAAAAAATCCCGACGGGAAGTTTTTCGCAATGTTCGGCCTCCGGGGGCCCTTCCCAGGCCTCGGGGCCGTCCAACAACGACGGAGGAGGAAGACCCGGCCCTGGGGAAGTGGTCCAGGCCTCTGGGGCCCACGCCAGAGATCCGCCGCTCCGAAGAAAAATTGGAGCGGGCCTCCAGGGGCCCTCGCCGGGCCTTGGGGCCGTCCAACAACGACCGAGGAGGAAAGACCAGCCCTGAGAAAGTTTATGAAGAAAATCCTGGAGGCTTCACGCGGCAACTTGAGACCCAACTTACGTCGGATCCACGTCGGATTTACGTCGGGTTCACGTCGGTTTTACATCGGATTCAGGTCGGGTTTACGTCGGAACATCGCCGCGCGACCTAGATGAGAAACTATTGGGCGCCGAGCGAGGTGCCCAGGATTTTCCTCGCAAGGAAGTGGTCCAAACCTCTGGGGCCCACGCCTCGGAAAAAAATGGAGCAGCCGGACGTCTGGGGGGGTGGGGCTCGGGGGGGGGGAGGCGGGAGGCACGGAGAGGGCCTCGCCGGAGCTTCGTTCCTGGCCGATCCTGGGGTCCCCTCCCGGGGTCCATTCCTGGCCTGCCTGTCGAGCGCGGGCACGAAGAGCCGCCAAGAGGTACACAAAAACAGAAACGCCCATAGAAGAAGAAACAACGACAAAAGTTGTTATGCTTACGGCGTTCCTTCTTTCGAGCTCAGGCCCAAAACACACACATATATATATGCGTCGGCGGCAAGGTAGAGTGACTGCGCTGGCGGAAGAGCACCAGCAGGGCATAAGAATGCGAGTGAGGCCGCAGTGCACGGGGGAGAGAAGAGGAACGCCCAGCGGTGTCGGGAGCGGCCAAGAGGGGGGCGTCCAAGAAGGGGGAGTGCAAATCATGACCGGCGGCATGTGCGCGGCCCAGGGGGGGCCAGGGACGTAATGAAATCCGCCGACCCCGTCGGCGCGTGTGGGGCGTCTGTCTGGTCCCGTCGACGGGGAGCCTTCTTTCGTCCCCTCCTTCCCATCCTCCTCTCTCGTCGGGAGAGAGAGAGAGAGAGAAAGCACCTTTCCTCCTTCGGGGAACGGGTTCGCAGCTTGAGGGAATTCCATCCACGTACTCATTACATACGTCAAAATGGAAGCCCCTTCCCTTTGTCCCTTCCCCGGCGGGTGGGTGGGAGGTCCTGGGGGAGGGTCAGATTCGTGTCGCCTCTGGGGGTCCTCCTCTCCCACGCCGGTCCTTTTCCCGCGCGCTGGTCCTCCTCGGGTCCTCCTCCCCAGGTGGGGAGGAGTCCCAGGGGGGAGGAGGAGAGTCAGATACGCATCCGTCCCTGGGGGTCCTCCTCCCCCTCCCCTCCCCTCTCCCACGCCGGTCATCCTCCGGTCCTCCTCCCCAGGGGGGGGTCCCAGGGGGGAGTCCTTGTCCTCCTCCTCCTCCTCCTCCTCCTCCTACCTCCTCCTCCTCCCCTCCCGCCTCCTACTCCTCCTCCCTCCTCCTCTTCCTCCTACTCCTCCTCCTCCTCCTCCCTTCCCTCCCTGCCTCCTCCTCCTACTCCTCTCCTCCTCCTTATCTCGCCTCTCCCTCCTCCCTCCTCCTCCTACCTCCTCCTCTTCCTCCTCCTCCTCCTCCTCTTCCTCCTCCTCCTTCTCCTCCTGGTCGTCGTCGATGTCTTTCAGGGTCGGCGGCACCGGCCGTCAGGCCTTCACAATAAGAAGAGGCGCCATGAAATCTTGGGAAACATCATGGCCCCGCCATGATATCCACCCCCCCTAGTCATCACCCCCCTCTTGCCGCCCCCGGCGGTGGCAGGAGGGAGACGAAGCCGGGCCCGCTCAGAGCGGGGCCAAACACACACACACACACACACACACACACACACACACACACACACGCACGCACGCACGCACGCACAGACAAACAGAGCACAGAAGCCCGACGCTGGGTTCTCGGGCAGAGGGCGCGAGAGGGTAGAGTTAGGTCGGGCACGTCCTCCTGCAGGCGGATCTTGGAAGAAAAATTTAAAAATGCCCCCGGAAAATAGCCAAAACTGATCCAATATAGCCCAGCAAATATTCGAAAAATCGTCCCCAGACTGTGGTAAAACTATTCTTGAATATGTTCCTCCTAAGGTGAGAGGGTAGGGGAGGGAGGGAGGGAGAGGGCAGAGCGGGCAGATGGCAAAAGGCTGGGGAAAGGACGCGCGCCATAGGTCGAGTAGGGATCATCTACAGCACTGGTCTACCCCAAGATGGACTTTCTCGTCGAGTGTGGGAGAAGTGGAAAAAAAACAAAAACAAAACACAGAAAAACGCAGCAAGGTTGCGCGCGGACTTCTTGGATCTACGCTGACCCCTCCCCCCTGGCGCGCGGAGCGCGTCAGTGGCGACGCCGCAGGCGCTGCCAGGGGAGCCCAGCGCGGATCCAAAACATCAATTCTGCAGTCAACCCCCCTACTCGAACAGGGAAGGGGAAAGACGGCGGCGCGTCGCCCCAGGAGAAAGGGAGCGGCGCGCGGGCGTTCCGGCGCGCTCTGCCCGCCGAGGCCCGGGGACGGGGTCCGAGGTGGGCGGCGGCGGTCCGGGAGCGGTCATGCCGGAGGTGGGCGTGGTGCTGCCGGGGCGGACGGGGCTCCTCGCGGGGAGGGCGCTCGGGGAGAGCGGAAGTGTGCAGTAGGAGCTCGACCACAAGAAACCTGCCACAAGAAGCCCAACCCTGAGACGCCAGGACGTCCAGTAATTTTTGGTGTGGGAACGTCGCGCTTTCCACAGCAAGACCATCAAAACCCAAGAAACTCGAGGCACCCTGGAGGCCAGCAGGGTGTTTCTTGGCATGTGTCTCCACTGTATGGTGGGCTGGTGGGCGCCCTCCGAGAGAGGGCGCTGCACGTCGATGTGGCCATTGCACCCGTCTTGGTCTTCGCCCTCCTTGTCGTCCTCGTCTTCTTCGCATCATGATATTATTAGCCGTTCTTGCACATCATCACCATCGTCATCGCTGCCGCCGTCGTCGTCATGGCCGTCGTCGTCACCCTCACCACCACCATCGTCATCATTACCATCATCACATCTGCTGTGCTCTGCATGGGTCATTGTATTCACCTTCCTCGATATCTCTGTCCTCGCCCTCGAAGACAGCCACGATATCGTCGTCACCGTCGTCGCCATCATAACCGTCATCCTCGACAATTGGCGCCGTCGCAGTCATCGGCTCCTCGCTGGTGTGGCGCTGCCCAGCGACATGAGGTCCAATGCTGGCACCGAACTCGCCATGGTCTGCACGCCATAAAGCTGGGAGCGTCGTTTCCCGCAGGCTGGGCTGGGACTGAAACACACGGCTTTCCCCCTTTCGGTCTCCCCCGTCCCTCCCTCCCCCTCTGCCTCCCCTCCCCCCCAGTCCCAGCGGATGCCTGAGCTCTTCCCCTTAGCCCCGTCCACCTCGCTCACCTGGGCCATCCCAGACGTCCGGCTGCTCCGATTTCGTCGAGGCGTGGGCTCCGGAAGTCTGAACCACTCCCCTGGGGCCGCTTTTCCGTCCTGAGCTGTGTTTTGACGATCCCGAGGCCCGGCGAGGGCCCGCGGAGGCCGAAAGCAGCCAAAGCCGCGCGCTCCAATTCTTCTGGAGCGTCGGATCTCCGGGGCCCCTCCAGGCGCTCCCTCCTCTCCCCTCGATCCCTCCCCTCCGCCTCTCCATTCCCCCCCCTCCCCTCCGAACGATGCCCTTCCCCCCTCCTGCCCCTCCTCTTCCCAGCCCTGTCCTCCTCTGCCGATTTCCCTCCCCTCCCCACCCACTATTCCTCCTCCTCCTCCTCTCACCTCCTCCTCCTCTCCTCCTCTCCTCCTCTCCTACTCCTCCTCCTGCTCCTCCTCCTCCTCCTCCTCCTCCTCCTCCTCCTCCTCCTCCTCCTCCTCCCTCTCCTCCTCCTCCTCCTCCTCCTCCTCATCCTCTTCCTCTCTCCTCCCTCTCCTACCTCCTCCTCCTCCTCCTCCTCCTCCTCCTCCTCCCTCCTCCTCCCTCCTCCTCCCGCCGCCTCCTCCTCCTCCCTCCTCCTCCTCCTCCCTCCCTCTCCTCCTCCTATTCCTCCTATTTTTTTTTTTTTTTTTTTCCCTTTTTTTTTTCCTCCTACTCCTGCTCCCTCCTTCCCTCCATCCCTCCCTCTCTCCCTCTCTCCCTGCCCTCCTGGTTTCTCCCTCCCCCTCTTCACCCACGATCGCACCAGCGCGATGGGCGGAGGCATATCGGACGTAAGCACCTGCACGGCGAGCGTCTCGACGTATCCCAGTGGCACCTGATATGAATTGGTTGGCCTCCGTTGCTGTTGTATTAGTTCTTCCACCTCCGAACACGTGTGAGGTCACTGCTGGGGCGTGGCGTTTGTTCCCAGCGCGGGGCGCGTCAATAAGCTACTCAACCACCGCGCCTCAGTCTGGGCAGCACTGCTATTGCCTGGCTACCGAGAGCTGCACTCGTGTTCCATCACTGCAAAGGTCCTGTTGGCTAGCACAAACTCACGAGACTGAGCGAAAGTCCAAAGTCGAGGGACTCAGCAGCATGTTGATCATTTGGCTTGGTCCTTCAGTCTGGAATGTGACACCAGAGCACTTACTGCTCTCCCCTCCTCCTCCTCCTCCTCCTCCCTCCTCCTCCTCCTCCTCCTCCTCCTCCTCCTCCTCCTCCTCCTCCTCCTCCTCCTCCTCCTGCTTATCATCCTCCTCATCCTCCTCCCCCGGAATTATCCATCCCTGCTGGTCATCCCTCCAAGATCAGATCCTCTCTTGTGTGCTTGCTCGTGCTGGACCTTTCTGGTCAGAGCTGTATACTTCCCCAATCAGAGCTTGCCTCTGTAGGGGTCCTAGCGGATTCATATGGTTAGATGAGATGCGTCGCCGATTTCGGTGGCCGGCCCGGGTGCCCGGGTGTTCGGGAGTGCCCCGAGGTGCCCGGGGGTGCCCGCAGATGCCCGGGGGTGCCCGGGTGCCCAGGTGCTCTATCGCCCCATAGCCCTATAGCCCTGTAGCCTTATAGCCCTATAGCCTCATAGCCCTATAGCCTTATAGCCCTACAGCCCTACAACCCTGTAGCCCTGTCGCCGCATAGCCCTATAGCCTTACAGCCTTATAGCCCCTATAGCCCAACAGCCCTATAGCCCTATGGCCCTGCAGCCCTATAGCCCTACAGCCCTATAGCCATATAGCCTTATAGCCCTATAGCCCTAGAGACCTCATGGCCTTCATAGCCCTCGCAGACTGTAAGATTAAAAAAGACTCTGATTGGGGCTTTTCTCCGGTATAATGATTTTCAAGCGCCCCCGGGGGATCCAGCGCAGCACCCCTTTGAGGGGCAACGTCAGGGGTGGGGGGCTGGCTCTCGGAGAGCATCGACCTGGAATCGGCGATACATAGCAGATAAATCGGCGACAGGACCCCGATAGCTAATCAGCACTTTCCTGGGCGGGGTGAGCCATCAGGCTCCAAACGGCGATCAGTGAGCGACTGGGTGTCGATGCATTCCCCTCTGAGCCCATCCCCCCGAACGTTACCCCTGACCCTTGCGCAGCTCCAACTGGACCTCACTCCCAAGGTGCGCCAAGATTGCAAGCGTCGCCCAAGCTCCTGCGCCCCTGCGGGGTCCAACGGAGCGCACCCCTGCGCGCGGCCAACTCAGTCTCGTCTCCCTCGCTTGGTGGCGCCGAACTTGCAACTGCCGCCCGCCTTCCTGCGCGCATGAGGGCACGGGCGGCATTTCCCCTCAGGCAGACCAAGCTAGATTTAGGTCGGGCATGTCCTCCTACAAGCAGATTTGGAAGAAAAATGCTGGGGTGGAAAAAAATCAAAACTAGTCGAAACATCTTCCACAGACTATTTTTGACTATTTTTGAAGATTCCTCCTGTAGAGGGGCACGCCCGACTTAAAGCCAGACCCCGCCCTCTCTTGGGCGATCCCAGCCGTGGCGCCGCCACCGCTCTCCTGCGCCCGTGCGGGGCCCAGCGGAGCGCCCCCCTTGACGCAGACTCATCTATGAGACCTCGCGCTGTTGCAGGAGGAGCTCGACCGCAAGAAACCTGCCACAAGAAGCCCAACCCTGAGGTGGGCGTGGTGCTGCCGGGGCGGACGGGGCTCCTCGCGGGGAGGGCGCTCGGGGAGAGCGGAAGTGTAGAGGAGCTCGACCACAAGAAACCTGCCACAAGAAGCCCAACCCTGAGACCCCAGGACGTCCATTGCTTTTTGGTGTGGGAACGTCGCGCTTTCCACAGTAAAGCCATCGAAGCCAACGAAACCCAGGGCACCCTGGAGGCAAGCAGGGTGTTCCTTGGCATGGGTTTCCACTGTAGCGTGCCACTGCGGCAGCGCTCCTGCGCGCATGGGGCGTTCAGCCGAGAGCCCGACTGCTGCGCAAACCAGGCTAGACATCGCCTCGCAGCCGCAAACCGCTCAGGCGCTCCCTCCCACACCTGACATCGGCGTTTCACCGAGCGTGTCCTCCCCCTGCTTTCCCCCTGACGACGACGCCCCCAGCCCAGACATGCGAAGCAATGCTTTTTCAATGAAGGGTCACCAGAAACTCCGACCCTTTCCCGGCGCCAGCTTTTGATCGCGAGACGCTTTTGGACGGTCCCAGGGCCCAGCGAGGGCCCCTGGAGGCCACAGACATCCAAAAGCATCCCGCCATGATCCTTTCAAGAAGCAAGCGCGTCCTGGAGCGCGGGCAAGATTTGTATCCATATCCGTTGCGTCTTGGAGTTCCGGGCTCCCTTCCCCCTAAACCAGAGGCGCAGTGGATATGGATCCAAAATCTGGCGAGGCAAATTAGATGTTTACCCATATCCACTGCGCCTCGGCCTTTTGGCGCCCCTTCCCAGAGACTCCAAGACGCAGTGGATATGGAGAAAGATCTTGCCCGCATGGAGTCAGGCGAGCACCTCCGCTTGCCGGTCAGGGTCGAAGGATGCTCCAGATCGTTCAACCCTGGGACAGCACGCGCCCGGTCGCGCACAAAAGCCCAGAGAGGCCGGCTCTCCTCGATCGAGGGGCCGAACCTCGCCAGGTGCCTCGCCGAGGTCTGGCTGCCAGGGTGCACGTGGTCCAGCGCGGGAGGCGGGCTGCCCAGGCGAGACATGCCGTACGGGGGCGGCGCGGGGCCCGGGCGGATGGAGCTCCGCGAGGAGGCCGGCAGCCCTGGCAGAGGCAGCCCCCCCCAAAAAGGAGCGGCACGGGCACAAGCTTTCGGAGGCCCGCGCGGGTTTCGGGGATCGGCGATGGACCCCCCTGCCTTCGAGTAGGGGATCGTCCACAGAACTGATGTACCCAAAGATGGAGTTGTTCGTCGAGCCCCTGAACAAGCGCGTGGAACGTTCGTAGAGCCACGTACATCCTACGTATGACTCGACAAGAACTCCATTTGGGGCAAATCAATTCTGTAGACGATCCCCTACTCGATTCCTGGCGCGCGGAGCGCGCCAGGGGGGCGCCAAAAGCGCCAGTCTGAGATATCCGCGCGGACCTCCGAAAGATGATGCATATGCCGCTGGTTCTTCTTCGACCTGGGTGCGCGAAGTCCATCACGGACGGGGGGCTGCCGGGGCGGGACATGCCATACAGCGGAGTGCTCGGCCCAGGGCGGAGCGGGCTCCTTGTGGCGCAGGGGAGAGCCAAGAAGCGCCACTCAATAGATCTGGCCGCATCGATCACATCGAACCGCCGGCATGACCTGGCGGCTCGAACGTGTGGATGCAGGAGATCTTTTGCAACCAAAGAAGGGCACTGCCGAAAGCCGCACCAGGTCGCAAGTCTAGCGGGCCACGAGAGGATGAAACGGGCACCAGTCGTGGGTCAACCGAAGTGCTCCTCCCAACTATGCCGGACTGGCCAAAGAAGCACAAGGGACCTCACCTCCTCCCAATGATAATACGCCTTCCTCACGCCTACTATCCTCCTTCCTCCTCAGCATCATCAGACTCATCCCCCGGCTCATCATAACTCCTCCGCCTCCCCTCCTGCTCCTCCTCATCCTCCTCCGCCCTCTCCTCCTCCTCTCCTCCTCATCCCTCCTTCCGCCCTCCTCCCTCTCCTCCTCCCTCCTCCGCTCCTCCTCCACGCCTCCTCCTCCTCTCCTCCTCCTCCTCCTCGACTCATCCTCCTCATCCTCCTCATCCTCCTCTCCTCCTCCTCCTCTCTCCTCTCCTCCTCCTCCTCCTCCTCCTCCTCCCACCCGAGGGGTCCAGGCCAAAAGCCCCCCTGCCCTGATCTTATCGAGCTGCGGGCTCGAGAAGCGCGAACCAGTGGCTCGCGGATCCATGATAGGGGGGGGGGGGGGCATTACACGTCGGTCGGCAGAAGCAGTTAAAAACATGAAGTAGGAAGGCAGGTCAAGTAGATTAGATTCAGGCCCTCCCAGAGAATAAAGACACAAAGCAAAAGCGGATCGACTCTTGAAGTGGGAGGGCGCTTGAAGATTGGGACCTGGGCATCCAAAAATACCTACTTTCAACGACCAGCGTGCATTTGGCCCAGAGCGATCGGCGTCTGACCTGGAGGGATCCGCCAGAGGGAGGCTGAGAAGAGACGCCCACGCTTCAAGTCCCTCCCCCCGAAGCGCTGACCCCACTCTTCTCATCGGGGGTACGGAGAAGCGGCTTTACGGACTAGGTGGGGCCAGCCGAGAAGATTGCCGTGGACTCACTCCAGGGAAGGTTGCTGTCGCATGCTGGACTCTCCTGAGCCACGCAATTTGCAATACGTTCTCCACCCAAACACTCGGGTCGCGCACGTCCGGGGTCCTCTCGGGGCCGCTGGGGGCCCCACCCCTCTCGGGACACCTCGAAGGGGGCAGTGGGATCCTATCTGGGGCTCCCTCAAAAATCTGTAGGCCCTCTGGGGGCCCTCGTGGGGCTCTCTCGGGGAGGCCATCTGGGACACAGTGCGCGCCGATCCCCGCGGGGCCACCAGGAGCCAGGAGGACCGGCCCACGACAACGCGCGCGCCCGACTCCCTCCCGATCGCAGAATAGCACTGTCGAGGGCTGAACTGCGGTGTGGTCGGTACACACCGACATCTCGACGGGTCGGGGGAAGCGCTTCACAGCGTCGTTCGCAGAGGAAAAATCCACCCTCATCAGAACCATCCCGACAAGCGAGGCCGTGTAGCAAACGCACCCGAAGGAGGAATCGAACAGGGCAGGGCTGTTTAGTAAACGCCCAAGGCCGTCTAGTAAACGCAAATGATCGTGTCCAGGTGGTTTTTCCTCCCTTGACATTCCACACAAACACACACACAGACTGCTCTGGCGGAATGGCAACAGGGGACACGCTGTATTCAAATGAAGGCCGCAGTGCACGGGAAGAGGAGGAGGAGCCCTGGCGCGACCGGGAGATAGGAAGCCGGGCCACTCAGAGCTGCCAGCAGCGGCGGGGGGAGCGCCGGGGGGGAGCAGGGCCAGCACAGGAAAAACACTGAGCTGGAGGAGGAGGAGGAGGAGGAGGAGGAGGAGGAGGAGGAGGAGGAGGAGGAGGAGGGGGAGGAGAAGGAGGAGGAGGAGGAGGAGGAGGAGGGGGAGCGGCAGCCAGGAGCTGCAGCAGGTGGTGAAGAGAAAACGAAGCGGAGCCCAACCCGGGGGACCGAGCACAATCCAGCGAGGAGCCGATGCGCCGAGACCGGCGGGCCTGCGAGGCGCGTGCTAGGATACGGGACACACACACACACACACACACACACACACACACGTACACGGGACCTACCATCAAGAAGTTGCTGGCGAGGTAGACGCCGAGATCCCGACGCTCTGGAGCGGGGCCCACGTCGGGAGCGCACACCGTGGAGCCTCCAGGGAGGCACGCCGAGGCAGCGCGGGGGCCCAGGGGCGCTGCACCCGACCGCCCGCAGCATCGGCCGCCCCCCAATCGGTTGCGTAAGTGAATCACAGTCGACTCCACGAGTGCACGGCTTCCCCTGGGGCCGTAGGCGACCCGAGGGGAGGGCGAGGGCGAGGAGCAGGAGGAGGAGGAGGAGGAGGAGGAGGAGGAGGAGGAGGAGGAGGAGGATGGGGAGGAAGAGGAGGAGGAGGAGGAGGAGGGAGGGGGAGGAGGAGGAGGAGGAGGAGGAGGAGGGCGGAGGAGGAGGAGGGGGAGGAGGAGGAGGCGGGGGAGGAGGAGGAGGAAGAGGAGGAAGAGGACGGGTCGCCAAAGCCCTTCGGAGAAACCCTTCAGGTGTCGTAAGTTAAGCACAATCGACTCCACGAGTCCCCTCGAAGAAGCCCCAGGAAGGCGCGCATTCGTCCAAGAAGTACGGATGACCTCACCAAGTTATTTTTGTGGCGTGTGTTTTACCGCTGCTGCCTTACGTGCAATGCCACCGGGGGAGGCGATGGACTTGGCCCGTGCCAGATTGCAACGCGTGACGTATACAGTGCTCGCACTTAAAGTCTCTTCCTTCTCTGCTAGGGCAACTGAGCTCCCGTAACAATCTGGCATTCCCGTCGCCGCCGACGTCGCTGCCGACGTTGCCGCCAACGCCGCCGCCGTCGCCGCTCTGCACTGGGCCCCAGTGCTGGTCCAGCTGGCTCGTCGCCGCCCGTCGCCGTCGCCGTCGCCGCTATAACTGGGCCCGGCGCATGTCGGGAAGGCACGTCGCCGCCCGTCGCCGCGGGATTGCTTTGCACTGCAACCGCGTTGCATCGCATTGCTTTGCATTGCGTTGCATTGCTTTGCGTTGCTTCGCATTGCAGTGCTTTGCTTTGCGCCACATCGATTGCACCACATGGATTGCACCAACTAGATTGAGCCACCCAGATTGCACCGCATAGATTGCAAGAAATCACTGCGTGGGGTCCAGGCTGGCTTTGGTTGGAAGTGGCGCGGGGCCCTGCTCTGGGTGCGCCTGGAGAAAATCGGTCAAGGACGCGGGCACATTCGGCTCGAGATCGGTTCCTGGAACCCTTCCTGGGGTCGAGACTGACAAGCTCTTCCAGCCGCGCCCAGCCGTGGCGACGCCGGGGGCCCCTTTGCCTCCCCCCTCCCTGCTGGCCGGAACCCGTGCTGGGCCACCTCGGCCCCCGAGCCGGCCCAAGAATAGGAGAACAAGAAGTGGCATAAACATAAAAACTCGGAGGTCCGCGCGGATTTCTCGGATCGGCGCTGGGGCCCCCCCGGCGGCGCCTCCGGCGCCGCCCCTGGCGCGCTCCGCGCGCCAGGGAGGGGGGTCCAGCGCCGATCCGAGAAGTCCGCGCGGACCTCCGAGTTTTTATGCTTATGCCACTTCTTGCTCCCCTGAATAAGCCCCTGGGCTTCTCGCCGGACCAGATCCTCGGAGGCAGCGTCGGGCCGGTGTGCACGGGGTCGGGCGGCGGCGTGGCCGCTCCTGGGCGGGACAGGCCGTAGACAGGCGCCGTCGGTCCGCACCTGACGGGGCTCCGCGGCGAGGCTGCGCTGCCAGAGCGAAGGGGGTCCAGCGCGGGCGCGGGGCTGCCCGGCGTCATGGCGCCAGACGCAGGCGTCGGGCTGCCCGGGCGCGTGGGGCTGCGCGGCGGTGCGGCGCTGCCAGGCCTGACGAGATCCAGCGCGGGCGGCGAGGGGCCCAGCATGGCACACGCGTACGCCGGCGAGGGTGGGCCCAGGCGCGCCGTGGACCTCAGCGGCACGGCGGAGCCCATGTTCGTGGGGTCCAGCACCTAGGAGAACGCCACTTGCCCAGAGATACGATGATCAAAAAATTTGGAACGGGCGGGCTCGGGGCAGTTTTCGGCCTCCGGGGACCTCGCTGGGCCTAGGGATCGTCAAAAAACGACTCAGGACAGAAAACCGGCACCAGGGAAGCGGTCCAGACTTCCAGAGCCCACGCATCAAAAAATTGGGACAGCCGGATGTCTGCATGGGTGCATGCCAGCTCCAGACCCACCCAGGTCTCTCGTGCAGGGGGGTCGGCTGGCACAACATGCGATGATCCTCAGAGCGTGTGTCGGCACGCCAGCGTTAGGTCGGGCATGTCCCTCTACAGGCGGATTTTGGACGAAAAATAAAAAAACAACCAAAAATATTCCAAAAATTGTCAAAAATAGTCGACGAAATCGTCCCCCGACTATTTTTTTACTATTTTTGAATATTCCTCCTGTAGGGGGACAGGCCCGACTGAACGCTAGCGCGTGCCTGCCCACCGAAGCCCTGCAGTGCAACGCAGGCGGCAGAAGGAAGGACGACACAGGCTGCGTGCTGCCGACGGGAGCTGAACGGGGCAAGCACGCACTGCTGGCATGGGCGTGGGGGGTGCCAAGGGGACAGGGAGGTAATCAGTGGACGCCAAAGGGGTTATACCTGGGCTAACCTACCATGTAGGTGGGTTACACATGCCCCGTGCTGCCGACGGGAGCTGAACGGGGCAAGCACGCACTGCTGGCATGGGCGTGGGGGGTGCCAAGGGGACAGGGAGGTAATCAGTGGACGCCAAAGGGGTTATACCTGGGCTAACCTACCATGTAGGTGGGTTACACATGCCCCAAGTGGCTTAGGGGGACTCGACAACTCCGCTAAGTGGGTGGAGCCCATCTGGCCTGGATCGCTATCCCCCCCAAGCCACTTGTGGCATGCGTAATCCGCAAAGAAGCTAGGTTTGGCCAGGTGTGACCTCCTTGGCGTCCACTGATAACCCCCCAATCCACTTAGCAATCCCCCCGCCCAGCCCAGTGGGGTAACTCACGTCCTGAGGATTATCGAGGCCCCCTGGCCAGGCCAGCACAGGGCGTGCAGGCCGCTCCCTGGCGCACAGCCCCAGACACCCCACGTCGTGACCTGTTCGTGACGTGACCCCCAGGAGCCTGGACCCCTTCGCCGGGACCAGCTTTTCGTCCTGAGCCGTTCTTTGACAGTCCCGAGGCCCGGCGAGGGCCCCCCGAGGCCGAAAATGGCGAAAAGCCTGATAAGTACATACAAATAACAGGACTCCCCACATTTCCCAATACTTTCTGGGTTTTTGTCTTCCCCCCCCGGCGTAAAACCTCC